CCTTTCGGTGCCTAAACTCAACCAAGTCCTTTCGGTGCCTAAACCCAACCAAGTCCTTTTGGTGCCTAAACCAATAAACCCAACCAAGTCCTTTCGGTGGCTAAACCCACAAACCCAACCAAGTCCTTTTGGTGCCTAAACTCATAAACCCAACCAAGTCCTTTTGGTGCCTAAACTCATAAACCCAACCAAGTCCTTTCGGTGCCTAAACTCAACCAAGTCTTTTCGGTGCCTAAACCAATAAACCCAACCAAGTCCTTTCGGTGGCTAAACCCACAAACCCAACCAAGTCCTTTTGGTGCCTAAACTCATAAACCCAACCAAGTCCTTTCGGTGCCTAAACTCAACCAAGTCCTTTCGGTGCCTAAACCCATAAACCCAACCAAGTCCTTTTGGTGCCTAAACACATAAACAGAACCAAGTACTTTGGTGTCAGCAACAAAGCCTCTGGCGCTTAACTTCCCTTTTGGTCACAGAATCTGATAGGTCTCACATTTTGGTGTCACACCGGGAGGACTGAGCCGATATGCGGCTCGCTGCGCTGAATGACGGTGTTGATCTGCCTCTGAGACGGGAACGCTGAAGTAACAGAGCCTGAACATGTCTGAGTGAAAAGCCACAGCCTGCATGCTGGTGTTTCTGCGTATATTGCAAGATTTCTGTATGAAAGCGGTTGTGTTTTGGATTATACTCGCTCATGAGTTCAAGCGAGCACGCGTATGAGCACACGCCTGGTTGCAATCTTAGAACCGCGCCGCTAGTGGCCGCTGAAAACTCCATAATGCCCCTTTAATCTATTTATTGTTTCAGTAATTTTTCAAGCAAAAACAATAAAAAAATTTACTACAATATTATAAAATAATTGAATTCTTATTTATTATCATTTGTTTTAATAATCTGAGCAAACAAAGTAACTAAAATGAACATATAACTAACGTTAGTGGAGCAAAAAGTAACGTTACCTCATGTATCCTGTGAAATGTAACGTTAGCTCAGTGGAGTAAAAGTAGCAGGAAATGGAAATACTCTTTTAAAGTACAAGTACCTAAAATATCTACTTAAGTACAGTACTTGAGAAAATGCATCGCTACCAACAGGTAATGTCCGGTGCAGCACCTGCTAACACATTATGTTAGTTAATGGCGAAGTTTAGCATGTTTGTAAGCTAATGTTTAAGCTAGTCCCTCTGTCTGTGTTTTGGTGCCCTGTTAAACGAGTTCATGTTCAGTTAATGCTGAAGTAAATACTGTAGACGATAAGATAAAGTTTATAACCTGTTAAAATATGTATTAATCGATCGTAAAATAAATTGCTCACCTACCGTTCGGCAGGGATGAGACGCTCGATACTGACGTGTCGACGCTGTGTCGAGATCCCGAAGCGCAGACGCAGTGAAGCCTCCTGTTTCGACAGGTGGCGCACCTGCCGCTTCTACGCCGGATTCACAGTGTTGGAACAAACCGACATCAGCCTCTAACTCATTTAACAGGTTTGACCCACAATCCTTTGATTTATTGGAGCGACGTGCACCTGCAGGCCTATAATGGCAAAAACAAAGACAACAAATGTTCCATGTTGCTGGAGATGTCAATTATTATTATTATTATTATTAACTCAGCCCCAAAACATCTGAATATTTCTGAATAAAACTCTTGACATATAACAAATGTGAGACATTGTTCCGCTTTTCATTCATCATTCTTGAAACAAATTCAACTTTACTGATTTTTAATCCATTACACCTCATCACTGCCAGCACTCATTATTATTAATCATTATTACACTAGGGCCTTTATCTTTCCTGCTAATTATCTTTACTCTTCTGTGTAATACTGTAGATATCCACATTTATTATTATATTCTTAGATTGGGATACTTTATTATATTCTGTACTCACTAACTTCAACTACCTGCTATTTCTAGTCTGTATCTGCAACAATGAATTCACCCTCATAGATCAATAAAGTATTCAGATTCTGAACATGAGCAAGTTCTCTGTGGGGTAGTGGTTCAGACACGTGCCTCTATGTGAGAGACGTGGGTTCGATTCCCACTGTGATACATGAGTAAGACACTTAACCTCTAGTTGCTCCAAAGCTGCGCCCTCTGACGCAGCAATTGTGATTGGCTTTTGAGAAAAGCGTCGGCTAGATGAGTGATTAGTTGTGAAACAACACACAGATGTGTTTCATTAAACACACTTTTATTGCGGTCCCATACAGTTAGAAACTGATTGGTTACCTGCAGGAACTTTGTCTCCTCAGGCCATTGGTTAGAGCCTGTCCAATCAGGTGCTCCCTCTTCTTCTTCTTCTTCTCTTGTTGAATGTTAACCACCTTTATTTTCGAAACAAGGAGGTTTTTATGCCATAACTTTGTACTGGCGTGTTCCTCAAAATTACAGCTCTCATATAATTAATCTTTTCTCAAAGGCTCCAAAAAAATCTTTCTCTAGTAAAATGACAACTTTATCACATATAGTAAACAAATTCAAAATTCTTGAAATATTACTGAATTAAATTAAAAATGTATTTATTTATTCTCACATTACACGTTATGAGAAAAAAGATATACATTGTAGAAGAAAACATGAATGAAACATTTATTGAAAGAAATTAAAATTTTAAGAACATTTTGTCATATAAGTCATAATTATGAAATACTGTGAAATAAAGTATTAATCCCTTTATACCTTTTTATATACAGTCTATGCTTAATAATAACAGCTGCACCTCCAGTCACCAGTCTGTCAAGCTCCTGAAGTTTGCAGATGACACCACCCTCATTGGGCTCATCTCAGGTGGGGATGAGTCCGCCTACAGGTGGGAGATCGACCATCTGGTGACCTGGTGCAGCCAGAAGAGACTGGAGCTCAACGCTCTGAAGACTGTGGAGATGGAACTTCAGGAAGAGCCCAACCCCACCCTCCCCCATCATCCTGTGTGACTCCCCCATCATCCTGTGGACTCCTTCCGCTTCCTGGGCACCATCATCTCCCCTCACCAAGAAGGCCCAGCAGAGGATGTACTTCCTGCGGTAGCTGAAGACAATGATGGTGCACTTCTGCACCTCCATCATTGAGTCCATCCTCACCTCCTCCATCACCATCTGTTACGCTGCTGCCACCGCCAGGGACAAGGGCAGGTTGCAGCGCATCATTCGCTCTGCAGAGAAGGTGATTGGCTGCAATCTTCCTTCTCTTCTGGACCTGTACGCCTCCAGGACTCTGAGGCGAGCAGGAAAGATTGCAGCTGACTCCTCCCACCCCGGACACAAACAGTTTCAGACTCTCCCCTCTGGCAGGAGGCTGCGGTCCATCAGGACCAAAACCTCTCGCCACAAACAGCTTCTACCCGTCTGCAGCCTCATTAACAAGACCCGGGTCCCCCACTGACACTCCCCCCTTTCAAATGATACTAATGTCTCTGCACATGTAAATACTGTTTCATTTCATACCATACACAAACCTTGCACACTCCACATAATTGTTGTTAATTGTTAATCTTTGTTGATGTATAATTTTATATTCACAATTTATATATTTATGTACACAATATTCTCTTCCGTTGCAACACGTCTGCACAACACAAACCCGGAGTAATGCACATGTAAATATCTGCAATGTTGCTCTTTCTCTGCAAATAGTTGTATTATTTTTCTCTATTTTTTTTATTATTCTTATATAACTTGCATCTGTTTATTCCATATATATATTTCTACATCTATTTATGTCTACTGTATGTTTGTCTGCATGTAGCACCTCATCACCAAAGCTAATTCTCGTATGTGTAAAACACTACTTGGCTCCTTCTGATTTTGAATCTTCTGATTCTAAAATTCAATGTACTGACAATACATTTGTGTCATATTGAATAGTAGAACTCAATGAGATGCTACTTTGACTAGTCTCTGTCAGTATGTCATGATATAGACTTTTTATCTCTGTCAGGGTGTGGTGTGGTTGAGTAGGTTGGTGGACCCAAATGCAGGAGTAGGTACAGTTCAAAAGGTTTATTTAAACCAAACTAAAGGCAACACAAGGTGAGCACACTTACAAACTGAGTGGCTGAGTCCAAGGAATCCAAAAGAATAAACAATCCCAACAAAACAGGTAATCCAAAAGAAATAATCCAACGGGTACTGATCCAAGACTGACAGGGCACGAGACACATGACAGAACAACAATGACCAGACAAGGACTGAAGACACACAGCAAACATTTAACACTATGGAGGAACGAGCAGGCGAGAGCAACATAGGACTAACGAGACACAGGCAGGTAGAAAGACAACAGGGGAAAACAGAGAGACAGGTAACAGGTTGCAAAACAAGAGTCTAACTGGAACCCAAAACACAGATCGATCATAAGCAAACGAACAACTAATCAGACAGAGGTTACCATAACACTAGACAGGCAGACAGAAACCAAGCAGGAAACAAACACCAGATAATAACAAAAATTACTAAAATAATGCAAACACAGAACTAAATAACAGATACTGAACTGACCAAAAAATAAACTCACAGAACTAATCAGCCAGGCTGTGTGACAATCTCATAATATTGAATTTTTATCTTATAATTTTTACTTTTCTTCTCATAATCCTGACTCTTTAACTCATAATTAGGATTTTTAAAAACTATAAATTTACTTTTTATCTCATAATTCTGACTTTTTATCTTAAAATCTGACTTTTTATTTAGTAATTCAGATCTCTTTAACTCCTAATTCTGATTTTATCTCTTAATTCTGATTTTATCTTATTATATATTTAAATTTATTGCACCAGGATAATAATTTAATTTCCTTTTTTTATTTTACTGGAGGAAATAAGGCTTTCATCATTCTCATTGGAACTATATGTTTTATTTTTGGGGGAGTAAACTAATCTGTAGTTTTAGCCACAGACTGTGTGGTGTGACTGCCATTAGTGGTGTTTTTGCGGTGTCTTGGAGCAGAGTCGGAGTGAGACCTCCTGCTCCCGGTTATCGTCGAACAGAGTCGGAGTGAGACCTCCTGCTCCCGGTTGTCTGACAGCTGCTCTGTGAAACGGAAGACATTTTGAGCTGCTGCGGTCGGTCCCGGTTTGCTGTTTGAGTGTCAGCCTGAAGTTACGGCTGACGGTACCGGAGAGCCTCCAGACTGAGCGGAACACGGCGAGAAAAGACGAGATTTAAGAAAACATTTCCAAGTTTAACCGGCGTATGTGCAGCACAGCTAGCTTAGCTTAGCCAAGCTACAAGAGCTAGCAAAGTCCTAGATGCTAGTTAGTTAGCGTCACCTAGCTGGCCTCCTCCTCCTCCTCCTCCTCCTCCTCCACCTCCTTCTCCTCGACAGCCGGTCCCTCCACGCAGACACAATGGCTTTAAAACGGATTTCCAAGGTAACGAACTGTCCTTCTTTCTTATTTAATCGGAACCAGAACCGGACCTTTGCGCGTCTTTCCACCGTGTGCCTTTTAGCTTGTTACCTAGCTAGCAGCGTTAGCTTGTTCTCCACACTGCCGATGACACAACGTTTGACATAAAACCGTGAAATTTCTGGCTGGGGTTTGGTTTGCGACGGCGGCGCGGAACAGAAACGTTGTTTTCTGTGTGTTAACGTGTGTCGGCTGTACCTGGGGGAAGGTGTTTGACAGAAACTGCCCTCCCCGGTGTGTCTGTAATGTTTCACATGAAACAATGGTTCAGTTTTCTGAGCCGATGTTAGCTTTAGCTTCAGTCTCAGACGGGCCTGGAAATGTGAAATGTTCTGTACTTTATTTCCACTCATGGTTATTAAAAGAGCCGTACAGGTTAATTTACTATCATGGACCTTTGCTCAGCTTTTCACTCTTAAGTTTACAGTCAGGACACTTTTATTTCCCTGACTTTGAACCAAATGTACTGCTGTGTTTATACATTATGCTGCTGTCAATGAGACATGAAATAAATGTCTTACAGTGATGAACATTCTCCGTAGTAACATGTCAGGAGGTTTTCACATTTGGAAATTTGATTAAAGAATAGACAAAGACTTAAAGAGTGTGACCAAGAGCTGACAGGTGGTGGTGGTGGTTATTATTATTAGCTCATGTTTTGGCTGCTGTTTGTCTGTCAGCAGGTGTAAAGGAAACTCCTGGCCTTATTTAAATGAAGCCATAACGGCCGAGGAAGAAGCCTTTACATGCTGGAGCACAAACCCTCTCTCTCTTTCCTCTTTCCTTTACAGTGCCAGAAAAGTCAGCTGCAGGCCAGAGTGACCCAAACCTGACTTCTTGGCTCATTATGTGACTCAGATCAGATCTTTTTATTTTGTTTATAACTGTGTGAACGGCCCAAGTTCATATTTCAAACGTGGTCAGATTTTTACATATTGCAGCCCCGGTCACTTTGTAGACGACCGTTTTGAAGCCTCTGGTTTAGCATTTTTGGGAGTTTATTAGCCTATTTAAGTCTCTGTAGGATGGTCCCGCGGTACAAAAGTTTCTCTGCATCACCAAACATAAAACAGTCTGTGGGATCTCCTGCAGATGGTGCTGTCACTGTCCAGGACAGCTGAATGGTCAGTACGCTGTGTTTTTATAGAGTTGAACTGCTCCTAAAGGTAAAGCGACGGTGACCACACCTGTGCAGATGTGATTCCATAGGCTACGTCGTTAACCAGTCTTCTCCGCCTGCTGCTGTGAGTTCTGTGTTTTTGGCGACTTTATAAAACGTGCTGCTGATTGAGATGGACTATTTTTTATCTAATCGCCAAACTGTCTTAGTAATTTGTCAAACGGTGACTTTTTTCCCAGCTTCTTTGTCTTTACGTCACAGGAACCGGAACATCTTCAGGTTTTGGTTTGTTGTTCAGACAAACCAACACATTTAAAGCGGTCAGCTCGGCTTCTGGACAACTGTGATTAATAGTTTTTACCATTTTTATGAGAACTTCTAGACCGATTAATCAGTAAGTTTATAAATTGTGTAATTAAGTATAGAAAATAGCAGCTTTATAGATGGATATTTCACCTGTGGTTCAGTGTTTCTGAGCCATTCATGAGCCACAAGATGCTTTTTGTTATTTGGACTTTGTAACTGCAGTAAAATAAAAGCTTTTTAATACTTCTTATAAAATGCAGCAAGTGCTTAGTTTTTGTGGTGTGGTACCTGGCCAAGGGCTGCAACTAACAATTGTTATCAATTTAACCTGTCGATTTTTTTCTCGATTAATTGATTAGTTGTTCAGTCTAGAAAATGAAAAATGTCCGTGAGTGTTTCCCAAAAGCTCAAGATGACGTCCTCAAACATCTTGTTTTGTCCACAACCCAAATATATTCAGTTTATTGTCACAGATGAAGAAAAGAAACCAGAAAATATTCACATTTAAGAAGCTGGAATCATAATTTGGACATCTTTTCTTTCAAAAAAAGGCTCTAAATGATTAATTGATTTATCAAAATAGTTGACTATTAATTTAGTCGTTGACAGCTAATTAATTAATCGACTAATCGTTGGCCTGATTAAAGTTGTATTTAAAGTATATTAAATCATTAACCGTTTGTGTGAAGTCAAACAGCAGCTCCAGTGTTACAGGAAGGTTAGACAGGTTTGTTTTGACCTTCTCTTTTTTTTTTTTTTAACGTCCACAGGCACGTTTACTGTACACCAGCGTCCGACGTGCACCAGTTAAATAATTCATCTGACTCGTGTGGGAACAAACAAGAATGCAAAGGCTGTCGAGAATTAGTTTGTATTCAGACCTGTCCTCAAAGACCGTGTCGGTCAAAAACTCATTTTACTCTCTGGTTCACTTCATTTGCACAACAGAAAATACCTGAGCGGTTCAGGAGCTTCATTATGTATTCTGCAGTTTATTTAATCAGTTCATCGTTTAAGAAGCACTTTAGCTTGGCGGCGTCAGCGCCCTCCCTCCCTGGTAACGGGGTCAGCTGTGTCAGTTATCACACGACTGTGACGTTAGAACCCGAACTCACGGCCCAACCAGGCGGAGAACAACAAACGCACGTATGGACATTTACAGCTGAGGATTGCGGCTTCCTTTGGTTAGCCTTCAACTCAACAATCAATCACGATTTCAGATCAACGCTAAAGTCACTGTTCATCTTCTCTGTGCTCCGCTCCGTGGGCTTTCGATAGACCGGGTGCTCTCTGGTCAGACGCCGTCGTGCTGTTGCGTTAGGCGAGGCAAGTTTCGTTTTACGGTGGACAAACCGTAACATTACAGAGTTGTTGTTGTTTTCTTTTAGCTTGAAATAATAGAAGTAGCGTTGATGCTTTTTAGTAATCGATGAATCGTTTCAGCCCTCTGCTGCCTACAGAGCGGCATGAAGCGGAGCTGTATGCAGTCTCAGATCAGGATGTCATGAGAACAGACTCTTCTGTATGAAGTCGATGCTAAAATTCTGAAAACACATTCCTTTTGCTCGGTACCGGAGATCCAACACGTGAAGATAGCGACAGGTGCAGCTGCAGCGACAGGTGCGCCGCAATTCGTCCAATTGAAAAGAGTTTGGAAGCCGGGTGAAGTTATTTTTGCGGCTGTTTGCTTCAACAGTTCTGGGATCTGTTTGAGTGCTAATTCAGGCGGACGTTTCACAGTAGGGCGGCAGCTGACGATGCTTTAAGTAATCGAATTAATCAATTAATTGTTTCAGCCCTATTTCACAATTCGGGTCACCTGAAAATCACCAAAGATGATGCTGCAGTTTAAACTAGGGGTGTGCGTCTTCACTGGTCTCACGATTCGATTACGATTATCAGGTCAACAATTGGATATCTCGATGCATCGCGATGCCTCACCTCAAGGGTGGGAATTTCTAGGCACCTCATTACGATTATGAGGCTACGATGCGATTTGTAAAATGAACAGGATGTTTTTCTCACTGTGTGACTACTTGGTACTTTCAAAGCAAAGTATTTAACAATAATCCAAACAAGTAGGTAGTGATGAAATGCAGATATTTGTGTTCACATAAATGTAGCTAACAATGCACAGCATTAATCCAGCGTTATTACTAAGCGCTGTAAAGTGTTCAACCCCCATCTGACTGTGTTATTAGTACACAGTCAGATGGGGGTTGAACACTTTACAGCGCTCCAGCCAAACCGCGTTCACTCCACCTTAATATCTGTTTTCTCGTCTAGTGTAGTTACATGTTTGTGTTTTGATCTGTAAGGGCTTTGAGAAACGGCGTTTAGTTAATTTGTGTACTCGATATTAGGGGTGTAACGGTACACACAAATCTGGGTTCGGTATGTACCTCGGGTTTGAAGTCACGGTTCCTTTTCGGTACAGTGAGGTAAACATTAAAATGCTGCTGGTTTATTATGAACTTGTGGAAACATCCCAATTACAATTATTATTTTTTTTAAACAAACTTCGAAATTACACAATAAAAAAATTATATAAAATAGAAAAGAATAAGAAATAAAATACTGCTGCGAGCTACTAACATGTTCTCCACTAAAATATTCTCAAAACAATCCCATATATAGCTAATATAAGAGTGAGTTAGCAGGTTTGACATGTTGTCGGCCCGCTGCTTTCGTCTCATCGACTTGTCCGTTGTTGTATTTCACTTGAAACCTAAGTGTTCCCAAACAGAAGACCTGAACGATAAGGGCGGGTCTTAAAGCTCTGGCTTCTCTGCACAGGCCGTGACGCTTAAGTCACTAGTTAGTGAGAGGCGGGGCTAAAGCGGCTGCTTGTGTAGCGCCGTAAGGTGGAGATTTGGTCCGTCCATGTGGAAACTGGGAATTTACTTATGTTCCACACAAAACAAGTTTAATATGTGACGTTAAAGACTGCGTTCAGGGCACATGTGCACCGTTCCGAATGTCCTGTACCGAAACGGTCCGGTACGAATACATGTACCGTTACACCCCTACTCGATATGTGGATGAATGACAACAAACAAACTTTAACTAGCAGCCGAAAAGCGTCCTGCTCAGCTTCCAGACGCAGTCTGAAGAGGAGATGTTAGCGCTGACCGCCTTAACTTATCCAGCAGTTGGAAAACATCAGACCGATTTAATTAACGGACACGCTGCGACCTGCACTGTACATTTACTGCCAGACTGAAGCGTAGCGCTCCGCTGCTTTCACCGTCACCTACTGCCGCCTGTCACGTAGCTTTGAAGAATGAGCAGAGGACGCTAGCTAAGCGCTACCGTGCTGCACAGTGTGTGCGTGAAAATCATTAACGTTAGTTGTGCATTGAATTTTTTATTTTTTTTGATCATGTGAAGGTTTAGTAGCAGCTCATTCAGTCAGCAGCTGCCTGTCTGTGCCGAACAGGGAAAACCACACGTCTCCGTTGTGTGACGGTCCGGAGCCGCAAGTTAAACCGCTTCTTTCGTTCCGTCAACATCACGTTATGTATTAACTTCTAGATAATAAATTGACATTTGTATTCGTATCGTCCAAGTCTGCATTGCGATGCATCTAGACATAGTTTTTCCCCACACCCCCAGTCTAACGCGCAGGCGTTACTGTAGGTGGAGTTAGGGGCCGTCTCAAAAGTGCGATACGATCCATTTCAACGCGGAGATCTTTCAATTCGGTTCAAGATTTATTGATCGAAAGTTAACATAAAATTCTGTTTACTTTCAACAAGTGGATCAAACATTTAACTTAAATTGATTTTCCTCAGCTCACAGTGGTCACTAACCTGTTTCACTCCTCCTCTCCCATTCAAATGCAAAACGCCTCCCGAGCTGTGAGGACGACCTGATCAGGATGAGCAGCGATCGGATAAAATTTCCCAATATTTTTATCCAACTGTTATTAAACAAAGAAAATAAAAAGATTGACCTTGCAGCAGTAACAACAATGATGCCAATCAACTGCTTTGGTGTCACAGGTTGTATTTTACGCAGGGTATCGAATGAAGTACTCTGTAGGTGTCCGTATCACTTTAAGGGTACTGGTTTTGGTACTTTGATACCCAATCCTAGTGAGAGGTTGTAATTTCAATATCTTGCTCATTTCTGAATATGTTGACATCAGACCGCCTCTCATCTGTCCTGGACGCCCTCTCACAGCTGTTAGTTGTTCCTTGTAATGTTCAGATGTTTTTATTAAAGGACTGTATGTTGAAGTTGTTGCATTTCACTGGTATGACGGCTAAATCTCTGGTATTGTGACACCCCTAGTCTCAGATGTGACGCATTTGGTCGATCATTTTTGGTGGATGAATTGAAAAACTGATGAAACGCCAGCGGTGCTGTTGTGTACTTTGAAACCAGGGTAGCGTGAACCCTCCCGGCTGCTTCGCTCACAGTCGGTGTCTGAATTCCTGACGGTTTCCTCGCCTTCCAAACTCAGTCGAACCTGAAAGATGAGCTGTGTGTGTCACATACCAACACTCGCAGTTTGGCTTCAGGGAGACCTGCAGGCTGGAAACACAAACCCGCCGTCGTCCCCCCTCGCTCCTATATCCTCATCTGGCCGAGTAAAAATAGACCGGCTGCTTAGACATCAATAAAGACCCGTGTGTCTGTCTGTTGTTAAGGCTGCGTTCACATGACGGATCAAACTTCACGTCCGAGCTGCTGTCGTTCCAGGCCGAGCTGTGCCCTTCGGAATAAATGTCTTGTGTAGTTAGTTATTTTCTAATTTAGAAATCTCTTAAATGTTTTCCCAGTTAATTATTTGCTCTGTAAAATGTCAGTAGTAGTGAAAAGTGTCCAACCGACTGTCCAAATATTGGCAGCAAATCCGGGTGCAGAGGACGGCTGGAGGTCTTGATTAATTGATAATAATAAAGAGAGTTTCCAAGTAGGGTTTTACGGAATTCTACTTATCATTAAAAATAATAATTTCTAGTTAAAATAAAGGGTTTGTCCCTTTTTAAAGGTCATTGGAACTTGTGATAATATTAAAACTTTATCGTAACGTGAATTTCTCACGCCGTCGCAACCCAGAACAATTGATTATTGACTGGTAAACGTTCACTGGCTCCAGTTTCTGAGAGTTCCTGCAGGTTTTCTTCTTCTACTGTGACGCTACGGACAAAACAGTCATTTTGGGGAAACCGTGACGTGTTACGGACCTGTAGATTTAGTCGAGATCAGTCGATAATGTCGAGTCTTTTACTCACAGTGCGCTGGTGAGAGGTCTACGGACGAGAGCTGTCAAACTTGCTGGTGGTATCAGAGTTGAAAAATAATAATTAAATATTCTAAACTCAAGGTTAATTTACTAGTTGTTGTTTTTTCACCCAGAGCTTTTGACCATTTCAAAGAGCCGTCTTCACCAAATGAAACTTGCTAAAGGGTTATTAAGAACACTGTTTAACCATAGTTTAAAAAAACTGAAAGATTCTTACCTTTAAAAATAACCTGAATATTTCAATCAAGGTAAAATTCAGACATCAGCTTCAGTGCCGATGGGTCAAATCTTCAAAGATTTTGTTAATTAACCCAATATTTGTGGTCTCATAACCTTACAAAAGCCACCCTGTAAGACGCATCTTCACTGAAAAATTATTATTTTAAGGTGATTTCAGTTAATTAAGTTTAACTAATAACTACAGGTGTAACAGGTTTGATCTGTGTTGGAACTGGATCTGAACCAGCTGACGGCATCATGTAGATCAGGCTGTTGACAGAGTTTAACAGGAAACCCTTTGTTAGATCAGATCAGCTGCCTCGTTCCTGTTTAGAGGGGTGGGGGTCTGACTTGTGCTACCTTTTCAGACTAAAGGCTGGTTGATCTTGTCCAATTGGAAATGAAAGTCTTGTACAGATTTTTGGGTCAGCGGTTGGGGTTGGGGTCCTGGATTGTCTCCAGGAAGTGAATTTAAGTTTATTTTGAGTCCCCAGAAGGGAGAAACGGCTGGCCGGTGACGTTTTCAAACAAAATGCAAAACAGCTGCAGACACACTTGACACAAGTGTTGGTTTGTTCACAACAAAACAACCATCTTACCGGGAAACAGGTGCTTTATTTTGTAAGGAAACATTTAAATCCACGTTAACACTTCTTGCTTTGTCTCTTTCTTTTGCTCTCTGGGTTTTCAGGAACTCACCGATCTGTCCAGAGATCCTCCGGCTCAGTGCTCCGCCGGGCCGGTCGGTGAAGACAGTAAGAAGATTTTCGTTTTCTTTCCTAACAAATATATAAACGGAGACACCTGACGCTGTGAACGTGTTTTATTAACCCTCTGTTTCCCTTTCTTTTCCAGTGTTTCATTGGCAAGCTACTATTATGGGGCCTGTAAGTATGAAACCGCTCCGATATCTTGTGTTTGGTACAGTAAACGTCATCAAATGCAACCTCAGTGTTTCCTCTAGGATGGAGCTGTAGCAGCGGAGGTGAAGCTAAATCTTTGTCTGAATATAAAACCTCCACACAACATGTCTCAGCAGCGATGCACCTTAGAATGGTTAAAATTTCAGTGTTTTCCCAGTTTAATGTGAGCTTTACATGAATGTTTTGGTCGTGGTCACGGGGGGTAAGTGGGTAAAATCTAAAAAGAAACGTCTCCTCGTCAGCTTAAAAGGACGAGTTTGCTTTCCTAACCTCAGCTCCTCCAGTCACCTCCGTCCTCTCTTTTCCAAAACCACTTTTTCAGACTGAAACCTGAAAACTAATTTAGGATGAACCAGTCTGTGCAGGACGGAGCTGCAGGCTGCACCAGTTTAGTCTCAGTTTGGACCTGATGTTCTCAACATGATAAAATCCAGCTCCCAGTTACTTTCTATAATCGAGCTAATGTTCAGTCACAGAGCAGCTCTGTAGCTGCTGTAGAAGCTGCTCAGTCTGAAGGGGAGATGTTCGCTAACTTAGCGCTAACCGGCTCCTCTTTTCCAGCAGCTGGGAAACAACAGACTTTTCTTGGTCTTGAGAAGCCGACACTCTGTAACAGACACCGGACATTTACTGCCAGAATATTTTCCTCCGCTCGGGCGATCAAACGCTCGCTGCGCACCTCCTGATTCAGAGTGACGCTGCTCTTATAACCATCTGTCACGTGTGTTCTGCACAGAACGAGGAGAGGAAGCGAGTAGGGATGCAGCGATTACCGGATTTCACTATTAGCCGCGCTTTAAAACGTCACGGTTAATTAATCGTAAAGGCTCCGCTACACCGAGTGTTTCTGTTGCACGGAAAGAAACTGTGGCAACTTGCATAAAACAAAAACAAAGTTAAAGTAGCGGTGCACCAGCGTAAGTGTCGTGCTTATCAGTCTACTCTACACTGGCTAAACTCGGGCAAACTGTGAAGCTTTATTTCCACCAGAGAAACGGCTGAAGTCGGCAGTGTGGGAGCATTTCAGGTAGGCTACACTAAGACTGACCAGGGCGCCACTGAAGATGACGGATCACCTGTTCAAAAACTTGCCGTCAAAAGGCTCCTGCTAAAGGAGCGAATAACTACATTAAACCGCCCGGCTTTGCACGCCCAAGTAAAGGTAGGCCTAATACATTATATTGAATAACGTAGCAAGTTGGTAAGAATTAAATAAAAACGTGTCACTTACAATCGATGCCGTAGCGGGGAGAACGTAAACAAACAAAGTGTAAACTTCCAGACCCACCGCGACAAAAGCCCCGCTGCGCTATGAAGCCCATTATTTTCAATGGCTTGGTTTGTTGTTGCGTCAAGCAGCGTGCACCGCACAGCGAGCTCGCACGCATGCCGTAGAACTTTAGTGCCGAGCAGCTTCCACGCAGTGCGGATTGCTTCTTTTCTGAAAGGGTCTTTATGGAAGACAGAACGTCGTCCTCTCAAGACCTTCAGTCACTGAACATTTAACGTTACATCCTGTTGCCTCCTCCTGTCTGTGGTGAGAAAATATTGCCAGGTGTAAAACACTAACATACATCAGGAACTTATAGACTTTCAGGACTATCAATTAGCACCACTACCAATTAACTGCATTTCAGTTAACACTGCACTCAATTCCTTTCTCTCATTTTCACTAAAACATATGAATGGATTCAGTTTATTCTCCTTTATAACAGTTTCCCCTGTGGGATAAAAGTTAATATTCCTCTTACATTAATAATACTTACATATTATAGAAATATAATTGTTAATGTCATTAAATGTTAAAAATCAACTTTAGTCATTACTAACTTAAATTAATTAATGCATAATAATTGTAATCTTGAAACTGCGATTATTTCTCTGACGTACCAACAAATTCTGTAATCGTTGCATCCCTAGAAGCGAGCCAAGTGTTACCGTGCTACACACTGTGAAAATTAGTAGCGCATTGATATAATGAGTGGGAAATTTTAGCAGCGGCGCATCACTGCTCCTGAATGCATAACACTGGACCTCCCAAGTCCCGTCACACATCCTACACCTTCTTTCATATGCAGTAAGTCTCCGTTTAACGTGTTAATTCCAGAGGCGGTTAAAGCAACAGTATGCAAGAGGTAGTATTTTTAGTGCAGTCATTTGCTTCAGGGAGGGAGGATTTAGATTTGGTGGACTGACTTGGATTATGATCAAACTAGCCAACTTTGACAACTTTGCTAACACGGCCAAACATCGGACTGAGCAAGCGAGCTAATTTTAATTTCTAGTCCAACAGCAGGAAGTCCAGCTCGCCGTCCGTCTTGCTGGCTTTTATTTCTCTAGGATCTCTAGATTAAAGACTAAAAGCTCTTGTTCTGCAGCCTCTTCACTCGGTCACACTCTTTTTCTCTTAGCGTTCTCTGTCAACGACCTCTTCAGTCATGTTCGATTTAGTTCATGTCAATCACGAATGAATCAGCACCTAATTTTTCTACTAAGTTATTTATTTTGTTGAGGAAAAGAGACAGAAAACAGATTTCACTTAATTTTCATCATTTGTTTTATCAAACGTTCTGAATGTTCTGCCTCAGATTTGTGAAGTGATCTGCTGCTTTTTGGCATCAAGGAAAAGTTAAAAACCACAATTTACTTTCACTCAGGAGCAAAAAACAGCCTTTAAACAGGAAATAAATAATAATTGGACATTTATCCTGAATAATTATTGATATCAAATGACTTTTTTCATGGTGACAACATTTTTGGGCGTATCGCTCGGCCCTACAACTTTCTGCGGGGTTTCACGCCTTCATCTCCTCCAGCCACTCCCCAGTTTGACTCCGTCAGTTTTCTGCAACGTTACAGAAATGTTCGATATATCTTCAGCAACACGTGCCAACGCCGTGTGCCCCGACTGCTGCTGTCGCCATCTTGATTTGAGCTCCACAAGGCGTATTTTTTGTAGCTGCTTCCACATCCTAAACTCCACCCCTCATGTGACTCTGAGCTCTGCTCTGAAACAGTGATGACAGTAAAGTATAGGAGTCGTGATGTGTGAACGTTGGAACGTGTAACCTGTGTTTTCTGTGTTTCCTGCTGCAGCCTGACAGTCCCTATCAGGGCGGAGTATTTTTCCTGACTATCCATTTTCCAACAGATTATCCTTTCAAACCACCCAAGGTCAGTGAGCGGCTCCAGAAATAATTGCCTTTGTATCTTTGAACTGCCTTTCCAACTAGAGTTTGGTGCTCGACCTGAACGAAGCATCAGGTTCAGGTGTAGTTTATTAAGAAAGTCATCTGTCTGTCCGTACGAGGACACGACGGTGTGGTCGCTGTGTAGCATTAGTCTGGTTATCTGATGGCAGTAATGGACGTTTAGCAGCAGTGCGGCCTCCTGTCTGAACTGAGTGACTGGACACAGACTATGTTGGGCTCCCAGAACTCTTCTTAAACTGCTTTTTGCCTACAAACAGTTTGCAATGTTTTTAAAAAATGTTTTAACATGCAGCTGTTGTTGGAGGGTAAAATATAAAAGATCATTTTGTTATTTTTTTAACCTGTTTCCACCTGTGTTGGTGCTGAAATGACAAGTGGGCACAAAACATTTAGGATCTGTGCAGTAGATGCTTCAGCAGTATTAACAAAATGATTGTCCACATAAAGTGCTTCTCTAGAGACTCCCGGTGACCCCCTTTTTGTCTTTAACAGGAAATTGAAGTCTCGCTCTCAAATCTCGCGAGAGGCGAGTTGTCGCAGGAAGTTGCCGTTGGAAACGGGAGGCGGAGCAGAGAGAAGTTTGTTTAGTTGGAGAAATGTTAGGAAATGAAGTGTCGCTAGCAGCTCCTCTCCCTCGTTTCCTCTAGGGCTGCAGCTAACGATGATTTTAGCGTTCGAAGCTTCTATAGATTATTTCAACGATTCATCGATGCGTCGTTTAAGAAGTACTTTTGGTCCTTTCGGAAATTCTTAGTGTGTCATACAGAAAACATCAGACCAACAACCAGACAGCTGCTTTACAAACACAAACATCACCCGAGTGCTACAAGTTAAACTAACGCCTCCTGCAGACTACACGACTTTGATGGTCGTGCCGTTCAGGCTACACAACTTGCCGTCTTGTGAGTCTTGAAGTGGTCGTGGCGTTCACACGACGTGGCTGATCGGTGACAGGGGGTCACACACTACAGGAGCTGACAGCAGCTGTGTCACCCGACGCTGGTCTCCAAACCACGTTTAGTCGAGAAAACATGTGAAATGTGAAACAGGAAATGAAACACAGGAAACAGCTGTTTGTCATTGTAAAGATGGAAATTCTAAAGAGAGAATCTGGGTGACACCCAACTTGAAATAATCCCAGACTTTGGACACTTTCTTCTTCGTCCCTCGCTATTTTCTCTCTTCCCCCACTTTGCAAACAGCTCCATCATAATCACGGCGTGTTCGCAGCGTAAGCTCGATGTGCGACAGTAATAAATGTCCGTGCGAAACACTGTGCTGTACAGTTGTATGGATTAACGCAAAGAATTTGCGTCGATGCATTTTATTAACCGATGAATCGTTAAAGCCCTCGTTTCCTCCTCCGTCTTCCTGCAACAACTCGCCTCTCACAAGATTTCAGAGCGAGAACTGTCCTTGAGCGAGACTTCAGTTTCCTGTTAGAAACAAAGGGGGTCACTGGGAGTCCCTCGCAGAGATTCTTTCCACAAGAAGCGCTTTCTGTGGACGCCATTTTGAAGAACCAGATTTTGTTACCAGTAAAAGGCTTTTAAAGTTTGAGCTTGAAGTTTCAAACCTTGCAGGGATGAGATTGTGTTTGTGTGAACAGGTGAGCTCTGTCAGAAGCTCTGTGTTGAATCCTGGAAGCTGCTGTGATGTGTGACCGTGACTCTGTGTTTGTCCTCTCCCTTCAGGTCGCCTTCACAACAAGAATTTATCACCCAAATATTAACAGTAACGGCAGCATCTGCTTGGATATATTGAGGTCACAGTGGTCTCCAGCATTAACTATCTCTAAAGGTAAGAAATATCCTGCAGAAACGACAGGAGGGATTATTGAGATTCAGAAGCAGCGTTTAGGCTTAATGAGATCAAACTAAGTGAAGTAAACTGAAGTGGAGTAAAGAAAGAAAGAGCCAGCTTGTCTGTTGGATGTGAAAGTGCTCTTGTCGCCACGGATGCCTGTTAACATCCTTTCTGGGTTCAAAACAACATCTGATCTTTAATGTTCTGCAGAAGTAAAACCACTAGATGGTGCTGGGCGCACAGTTGCAGTTTTGAAGATGCTGTTTAAGATTATAGGGCTTATTGAAGATGTAAATTCATCACAGCTGTCCACAGCAGTGACTGAAAAACGTGACCGACAGTAAAATTTGTCTAACACATTTTATAGAAACACGCTACATGTCAGAAGTTCGGACACACTTAGAAATGTTCTCGTTTTTGCACATTTAAAATGACCTCAGACGGGTCAGAGGCTCCTAATGATGGCTGGTTTGTAATGGAATATCTACAGAGGTCCATTATCAGCAGCCTTCAGCTCTGTGCTCATTAAATAGTAACCAGGAAGCAGCAGTCTGAACGTCAGCAGTGAAGAGGCGGCTCCGGGACTGGCCTGTCTGAGATTTGGCCTTTTCTCTGCAGCTCTGCTCTGGAGTCCAGGGGCCGAATTACAGAAGGTTCCTGTCTTAACTGAAGACAATTTGGTATTACAGAAGCAAATCCTGACTAACTTTAGGGATCCTATCTTATCCCAGGTTAGGAAATCCTTTTGTTACCTCAAGCCTTCACACCATGTTACATACTGAGACATTATCCAGCGTCGCATGGCCGACAGCCTTTCTAATAACCAGGGTTTGGTCATCAAACGCATCGGTACAATCGGTTAATCAGTTCCGCCTGTTGACGTTGGTTGATTTTGTAAAGGATTAAACGAGTTGGCTAGTTAACACTACCTGGTAGAAAAGTGAAGTTAGGACAGCTCAACAGTTCTCCTGAAGTAGGAGAGTTTATGAAGTCAGGACGCTTCTGTAAAACACTGTTCCTGTCTTAAGTTAGGAAAGAAACCCTGACTGAGGAACTGTTGATCTGTAACGGCCTTTTTCCTAATTCACCGTGGTTACCAAGCAGTTTGATCTGCAGGTTAGGAAGTTTCTGTAATACGGCCCCGGGATCCTAAGCTGACGCTGAGACTGGTGTGTTCTGGGTACTATTTGATGATGCTGCCGGTTGAGGGCCTGGGAGGCGTCTGGTTCTCTAATGTGTTTGTCCTCTTGCTCAGCTGTGCACCGGGGCCTCCCACTCCTCTTTCTGGTCTGGTTAGGGCCAGTTTGCTCTGTTCTGAAGGAGGTAGCGCACCGCATCGTACGAGATTTGTCAGAACAAGAACAGACTGACGGATTTCAGAAGAAAGTTCTGTGTTTCTGGCCTTTATGTGCCTCTAAAGCCCAGCAGTGCGAGGCACCTTTTTTTAAAAATTGTTTCCTGTTGGCAGTGAGCGTTGTGCGTGCTGTTGATGCGCCCAGGACGCCTCATGTTTTGGGCGCCAGCTGCGCCTTGCGTTTCTGAAAGTTGGGGGGAAAAAAATCAACTGAGCAAAAAAGGGCCAAATGTCATTTTATTTATTTTCATTGTCCGATCAAATGAATGGAGAGACGGGCGCTCGGTTGTGGTGACCGAAGTTTACAGTTGCTTGGATTGTCTGGAGACTCAAACTGTCCCCGACTCATTGTAAAATGAACCTGGAACCGAAGCTCCTACCGGCGTGTCTCCTCTTTCTGAGGGTCTCATGTACCCACACGGATCTCCGTTTCCCCGTCTTCTGCGTGTTTGAACAGCTCGCACCCTCAAACAGCGCCGGAGCAGGCGCCCTCCGTTTGCCTATTTTATTAAAGCAGATGTTTTTAGCGACAAAAGACAAAGACTTTGCATAAAAATGACAATAATAATAAACACAAAACAAACAAAAAACATAACAAAACAAGAATTATCAAATTATATAATGTGCAGGACGATGGGCTTATTTGACCTGTGAGTTGTGTAATATGAACGCTATTACGGCAAACCAAAGATTACAGATCGCTGGCGCTATAATCTTTGATTAGACTGACAGGACAGCTGATTCGGTGGTTGCCCAGCAACAACCTCGCGTTTTCAAACCTGCGAAACGCTTCCTGTCTGATCGCAGCCTAATGGAACCAGCAGCTGTTGATGCTCCAGACACTCAGCTAGTCTACTGAAGGCTTTATTGCTTCGCTTTTTTCAGCTGTGCTGCCATGATTGAAAAAGGGTTTTCTAACGATCGATCAGCCTTTTAAAATGACAGACTTGGATCAGCAAACGCAGTGTGGAGCACAGTGGTTGCTGATAATGGACCTCTGTAGATATTCCATCACAAACTTTTGATTTACAAGATGAACACTGCGTTTCTGATCAATCTGATGTTGTTCTAACGGACAAAAATGTGTGTCCAGACCTTCGTATGTTCATGGCACATGATTTGATGAAAATGTTCTCCTGTTTTCCTCTCTGCAGTCCTTTTGTCCATTTGTTCTCTGTTATGTGACCCGAACCCCGACGACCCGCTAGTGCCAGAGATCGCCCGCATCTACAAAACAGACCCTGTAAGGTGAGTCCACGTCTGTGAAGCTAAACTGAGTTGACGTCTACATGACACAAACTGTTGGTGTAGATTTAGAATTGGTCTTTCACCAGCTGGTTGGCTGCTCGTTCGGATCCTCAAACACCAACAAAGAGCACAAAGCGGAAAAAAGTTTACATGCTAATTTACTCACAAGATGTTTGAAATGCGTAGAATGACCCACAGTAGATACGATCATTTCAGGCGTCATCATCCCGCATCTTCATTAAGAAAAAAAACAGCTGAGGAAGCCAGTTCAACATCGACAGGATATCAGTACGTTCTCTGGCTTCGCTAACGATCAATCAGGCTCAACGGTTTCTCAATCCAGCCGTGAGCGCGCTCACAACTAAGGCTCCGAGTTTGCAGCAAATCACCACCGCACACGGACGAGCCTGCTGGCAGCTGAGCGTCATATTTTACAAGAGCAAACTGTAATTTGGACAAACGGGAAGAAGTTCAACTCATAATCCAGCTGCCACGTGCAGGAAGATAGCGGGCTGCTAACGTCCCTGTCCGTCGTCGGGACGAGCAGATCTGACTCAGTTGTTTGTTCCTCTAGATGAACGTGTCATTAGACGTGCTCTTACGGCGTGTTTGACCATGTTAGCTTGATTCTTTCAGCTCAGCTGTGTGTCCTGGCGTTGGGCGCTGACTAAGCGGTCGTTAAACTCTCTTTTAAGACATCGGTCATTTATTTGACGCACTCACAGTGCCAGAGCAGGCGCCCTACGTGACCTGTCTGACACCTTCCGGCAAGCGCGGCGCAAGTTTCCAGCCGACGCAGTTGTAATTTTCATGCCCACGTTTTTTTAAATGGCAATTGGGAGTGTTGGTCTTAAAACGAGGTGTGGTCAGGAAAACTGTTGCTATTGCTATGGTGAGGCAGCAGAAAGCGATTGCACCACTGACCAAAAATAAAATGGGTCTAAAGTCAACGTCTTTGTCCTGCGTCAAATGTCCTTGTTAGTTTTTGTCATATTTGGTCCACAGTATATTATTTTTAGTTGACTAAAAGTCTGCGTATTTTAGTCTGTTAGTCATTTACCATCACTTTAGTCTTTTCTAACTCATTAGTATAATTCAGATCAGCATTTTGGTCAATTTGCTCGAAGCAAAATAGAGAGATTTATCATTTTAGTCTTTATCTCACTCAGAGATTCATAGGTTCATAGAGGGAAAATGTTTGGAGTGAATCAACCTTGAGCTCCGTCAGAGCGTCTGTGATTTACTTTATGACTACAGTTTTTAGTTTTGCTGCTTTAAATGCCCCACGATATTTGCTGTGACTTCACTGCACATGGAAACGTTTAAAACGACTGTCAGCAGCCTCTCTGATCATGAAAGTACTTCGTTAAAGTCAGTAAAACCCAGAATAAAGAGGAGGAGAGAGAGAGAGAGAGAGATTTGAGCCTCGACCGGTTCATCAGTTTCTAGTAATGCAGCGCAGTGCCGATCCAGGCGTTTCATAGAAGAGACGGCGTCTGTCTGTAAACAGACTCCAGTCTGCTTCACTGATGAACCACAGAGCTGCAGAGGAACATCAGCCTTTTTATATCACGTCAACACTTCTGTCCACACCCCCTCTGCTCAATCAGTAGATGATTTTATAATGCACCATAACATCCGCCATTATAATAGAAATGAGCCAAGACACAAGCGCCCCTGGCTTTTAAAGGGAGATGACACTCTGGTTTATAGCATGTTACGCTCAAAACACACCCATGACTAATTCATGGAATAATGAAGTCAACCCCTTTGAACCACGTCTGGCACATTGTTTCAGCTATTGAATTGGAGATGGACACGCCCCAAACGTAGCGGCGCCGTGCTCTTCCCGCTGTGCGTTTAGATCGTTAAAACAGGGCCCTGACCTTTACTGAAAACCCTCCTCGTTACCTGCCCAGTCTCTGTAACACAAGAAACAAATGCAACTTAAAGTTAGAATGAACTGATAATAAACGGCACGATGTTGGAAGAAACTGACATTGCAATATGAAAAAATACAGGAATTTTTCAGAAATTGAAATTTGAAAACCATTTAGCATCCTGAAATTATTGGGGTGATATTGTAGGTGGAAATGCTTAATAAGCTGAAGATTTATTATTGGTCTGAAGATTTTTATTGAATGCAAACTATCCTTTCTTGAGCCTGATTGTCGCTCGTTAGCAACAAACTCTGTGATGACGATGCTGAAACGACATATTGTGCAGCCCCATATTGAACAAATTCATATTAAACTTAACTTGAACGCCAAAATATCTGCTCATAACATTTATCCTCACATCAAAATGAAGCCATTTCTTCTAACGGCCGCGACGCACCTGGGAGCAAATAGAAACTACATCTAAAAACAGGTTTTAAAGCGGCGAGCAGGTACAGCAACAACAAGGCTTTAGAGCTTCAGCCTCTGCAGGATGACATCAGTGTACAAAAGCTTCTCTGCATCACCCACAGCAAGCAGGAAGTAGAAAACAGTCACCGGGATCTTCTACGGGCGGTGACGCCATTTTCAAAGGGACCGGGAAGCGAGCAGGTTAGCCGTTCAGGATAGGTTACCGATGTAAGACGTGAACCACCAGCGTAGGACTGAAACCCAGGGTTACACCTGAAGTCAGCAGCAACGTGTTGACTTTAACGTGGCGTAGACGAGCTCTGATGACATCGTTAGCTCTGATTGGCTCCAGGTTTCTCTGCGTTAACGGTGAAGGCTGGTGTTGAGAAGCAGCAGCCTGCAGGTTTTTAACCCGAGTGTCCTGCTGGCTGCTCGCAGGTATAGCAGACTAGCCAGGGAGTGGACAGAGAAGTATGCCATGCTGTGAGGGTAAGAGCCGAGTGATGGAGTCTGTTTCTGGAAGCTTCTGTCGGGAACGTGTTGGCGGCTGGACTGGACTTAAAGCTCGCTGATGCAAAGCATGCCTCCAAATCTGTAAAGAGCGTCTGAGCTGCTGGACGGCTGAGCTTTCATGTTTTAGCAGTGGATTACACTGAACATCTGATGTTCTAAAAACCTGCATGGTTCTGTTTGTTTGAGAGAACTGAAGTGAAACCAGCGGCTGTGTGGAGGGAAAATGTTCACCAGGAACAAACAAGCTAAAACATGAAAACGCAGACTCGTTTGAATGATTTGCTGTTTCAATGTCGGCTGTTTGTTTACCTGCATGTAAAGCATCAAGATAAGATTCTCAGGCGGGGGAAAACACCCCGGGTCAGTCAGTGAAACTACACTGATAACGATTATCTTTACTAATCTGTGTTCACGTTAAAGGGTAACTTCTGGATTTTTCATCCTGGACCTTATATCCCCGTGTGTTTGTGTCTCCGTGCGTCTGAAAGGTTGCACCTGCTTGTTGTTGCACTGAAAGCTCGACTCTCCTCGCTACGGCATCGATTGTTAGTGACACGTTTATACTTAATTCCCTACCAACCTGCTATGTTATTTAATGTCTGAAACCTTTACTTGGGCGTGTAAAGCTCGGTGGTTTAATGTAGTTATTCGTTCCTTTTGCTGGAACGGCCTTTTAACGGCAAGTTAAGGTGCAGGTGACGCCCTGGTCAGACTTGGTTTATCTGAAATGCTCCCACGCTGCGGAGTTCAGTCGTTTCTTTGGTGGAAATGAAGCTTCACAGCTTCTGGTCCCTCTGCCAGAGTTTAGCCAGTGTGCAGCAGCCTCTGATAAGCTGCTTCACTTTGTTTTCATTCGGTGTAGCGGAGCCTTTACGAGTAATTAACCGTGACGTTTTAAAGCGCCGTTAAATCCGGTAATCGCTGCATCCCTAGTCTACATGGAGGCAAATAAATAAATTCTGACCAGCTCATGTCCCAGATGTGGCGTCAGTTGTCGTCCACGATGATTCGTTACACGGCGTCAACGACGTGTCGCGTCAGACGCTGCCGTTGTACGTACCAGATGTGCTCGGGTGGTCAGATCTTCTCGGGGGGGCCTGCGCCTGTCAATAACGTCACACAACGTGATGATGTGGCGGATTGTGATTGGCTGTACGTCAGAGTGCTTACGGATATAGTTTTAACGGGTCCTCGGATCAACTATGGAGACGCCAGAGCCGTTAAATAATCCTATTAAAGGAATTTATATAATGAAATACAGCTCTGCTTATTAAACGGGACCTAACACAGCCTGGCATTAACTAATGTGAGCTTCTGATCACGTTAAGCTAACGGTAGCTAACTTAAGCTACTCGGACAAACTACATTGTGCCCCGGTTATAAATGTAGGTATCAGATCTACTCGGGGTCTTTTATTAAATGTTTTTGCTTTTATTTCACATTTGCTTTGGCAATATGGCAATAACGCGCACACACACACGTTAGCTTAAGTGGATCGGCAGCTAACATTAGCGTCGTAGCGTTAATTCACCGAAAGCTAGTGTCCGTAAACACTACGACATCCAGCCAATCACCATCCGCCACGTCATCATGCAAACGTACAGCCAATCGCGTTATGTGACTGTACGAGCAGGCCCCCCCGAGCACATCTGATACCTACACCGTTCATGGCGAGTTAACCGGTTGGCCTTCAGGACCCTCGCAGCTCTAAACCGTCTCTACTCCAGGTCCACGTGCTCGTTGTGACAGTTGAACTGTAGATGTGACTTCTTCAGGCTGCTCTTCCCAAAGGTCTTTCCGTCCGCAGGGCGAGCAGCTGCCGCTTCAGTTTCGTGGGACGATGGAGACAAAATAAGATTGAATGAAACCAGCCGCAGACGGATGTCGCTGTGTGCTGTTTGGCGTCGTCGCTGCGCTCTGTTGAGCAGCGGCTGGATGTGGACTCACCTGTGTGTTTCTGTCTGCAGGTACAACAAGACAGCTCAGGACTGGACTCAGAAATACGCCATGTGATCCACATCCTCGCCCACTGCTGGAACAAACTGTTTGATTTCTCATGTGCCCCCCCCCCCCACCTCCCACCTCCCACCTCCCCTCCTCATCAGCCAATCACAGCAATTTGTTCACGTTTGTTTTCGTCCCCTTCCTCAACTTTAAAACGCTTTTAACCTGTTGATTTGCCCTTTTCTCTGCTTCCTGAGAGGAAATGAACCGAGTGAAGACGGGCGGCGGACTCTGAGCTGTGAACGTGCCAACTGAAGAGACAGAGCTGCCAGAGAATATGAATAAAATAATAATTTAATGCATGTCAGTGATTGGTTCATGTGCTGCTGAGACTTTTAAAAAAAGAAAGGCGACAGCTTTTTGGTTTTATTCTGTTATTTTTTTGAGGTTTTGTTTTTAGACGAGAGCCGTTAGTTCATCCATCATCCTCAACACTGTTCTCCTCTTTTTGCACTGAAGATGAAACTCAAAGCTCTCAAAGGCTGATCGATCAACTAATAGCTCTGAGATGTTTTTGTTTATCAATAAAGTTGAACAAATTGCGGTTTCCTTGTTGTGCTGTTTTTTTTATTTTCTTCTTTCTAAAGTTGAATTCTCTTTTAATCTGCCGATCGTTTAGTCGTGAACTCATCTAAACACGTCCACTAGTTTGTTTTTCTACACTGACGAGCTCAGTTGTTTTTAAAAGGATCTGACAACGTTGTGGAAATGATGCCTACAGAGAGAGATTTCTTTTGTTAAACCAGAAACGGTCAATATATCGCTCTCCTCGAAGCCACTTTTACCTCCCTCTTCTACCGCTGCCTTGTTCAGTTAGTTTGTGTTTTAAAAACACCAACGTCACACAATGACACAAACCATCCAACCGAGCGGGCAGCGATAGACCGGCGACTTCTGTGTTGTCTGTGAGGTAGAATTAGTGTTTTTATCAACAGTGTCTGGTGGCTTTGAGAGCAACGTAGTGACTGTTTCTTGTTGGCGAGTATTTTTCTGCCGATCATTTCGGTCTCTGTATCGATGGTAATTTTATGAAACTGCTGCCACATTTGAAGGTGCAGGATCCTCCAAATACTGAATCTGCAGCAGATTAAATGTCAACGAACTCTTCCAGAGGTGGAGGAAGTACTCCCTTTAAGTAGGCCTACAACAATACCACAGTGTAGAAATACTTCTCTTACAAGTAAAGGTAAAATGTACTTGGAGTATCAAAGAGAAACTCACTAAGCAAAATGTGTTCAAGCCTTCAAGGGCAAACATTTTTCATTTTCACAAGGTGCATCATATTTAATACATTAAATCAAAATAACTTCCGCTGTTAACAGTGAAGTGAAAAGTACAGTATTGATAAAAGATGAGTAAAGTACCTCAAATTGTATTCAATTACTTTACTTTTCACCACTTTCTCCTTTCTAGAAAAAAACTAGAAGTGGAACTGATTTTCTTTGAAATGAAAGAAACTACTTAAAACTACTCCTGTGAAGTACAACTGCAGTTGTACTTGAAGTATGTACTATTTGTCCAGTGTAGTAATACACTGTGGTATTAGTTTGGACTTCCTGGGGTCGCGTGAGATGGAAGCTATTGAAAATAAATCACGTTTTAATATAAAATAGAAGAAGCACTCAAACATAATTAAAGGAGGCGTGTCTCATTTGTCCGGAGTACTACTACAGCTTTGGTTTGAAGATCCCGGGTCATGTGACATTGAAGCTATTAAAAAATTTCCATAATATATTTGTATAAAATAGAAGAACCACTAAAATACCCCAAAAACTTAAATAATTTTCTATTAAAATATTTATTTAAAATATATTAAACACACAGTAGCAATCAAAATAGGTTTGTTACATGATACCAATTTATCATAATATTTTAATCATATTTTTTCCCAATATGGGAAAATCAGCACGAGCACATGGACGTGGAATAAATTATAATTTTCACTAAAATCCCCCAGAAACTTTATTATAAAACTTATTTATGTAAAATAAATGAATCACATTAGCAATTAAAATAGGGTTGCTACATGACACAAATTCATTATAATATTTTAATCATAATTTTCATGAATTACTAAAATAAGGGTGGTATTGATGACGGTAACATTTGTTTTGTGTCCAGCAGCAATTTACTGACAGCAAACCCCCGTGGTTTGAAGCTGAATGTCAATGAGTTCACGTTCAATGATTTTTGTATATTACAAGCTGATTATCCTGAACTTTTGTTGTTTTGTGTGAAATTAGTGCAAGACACGCGCTGAGAAGCAAAACTGAGGAGGAAAACACTTAAATATGGTTGAAGATGTGGAGAACGCATGAAGTTTAAATGAAACTAATGGCCTCAGGAGGGAAGAGGTTTTTCACATGTTGCTGTTTGTACATATGATGGAAGATGGTGTACTGTGCTGTTTTATATGTAGGCCTACTGGATTTACAGATTTAGTCATTTGCACAATTTATATTTATATAATTTATTTTACATTCCCATATTCTTGCATACATTTAACTTTTCATATTTTAAATTTTGTTGTCATGTTGGTTTTATTATTGTGGATATAATGCACCGTCAGGATTGCACTCTGTGCAATGATAGTAAAGGAATCTGAAAAAGTTGGCAGACATTTGCTTAAACACATCTTGATCTTGTTAAAACGCCCCATGTGTCCTTTCATATCATGAATATTGTGAGTTTCTGAGCTGTGTCTTCCTTCACTTGTTGCACCACTGTGACACAATGCTGAGGTGCAGGAAGGTCAGAAACATCAGATATATCAAGAAAAAGACGTCTCCAATGTTAAGTTTTCTCTGATAAAACCAAGCTGTGGGGAAGATTTAAACTGCAGCTGTCTGGGTCCAAATACAGAAAGAGATTTTATTAAAACAGCACGTCAGAAACAACAACAGAGGAAGGAGGTGAGTAAAGAAAAAGAGGAAGGAAGGAAACAGAAAGAGGAACAACATGAGGAAATAATGGGTTCATTCAATTAAAGTCTGATGAGATTCAGAAGAACCTGGTGAGTGGGAAGGAAGGAGGGAAGGGAAGGAGGCGAGGGAAGGGGATGAAGCTCAGGGAGGAGGAGTAAATCAGTGTTGGAGACTCTGACGCGGAAGAAGAATCGGCCTCGGAGAAGGAAGAAGAAACCCCAAATGAAAGCTCCCCCCCCCCCCCCGGCTGCTTTCACACTTGTTGAATAACGTCTCTCTTCGACCCTGCGGCGGGTTTCGGACATTTTGCCAACCGGTTCCTCGTGCCTGTCTCCCGGGTCTGTTGGAGCGGCTTCACGGCTGACCAACAATAACAACCATCTATTTATTTCACAGACTCCAAACCGCCGCGGACACACTCGGCATCCAGCTTTGTGGCTCTCCCGGGTCGATATTTCCTCTTTGATCCTGTTCATCCAGCTCCGGGCAGCTCGGGGAGTCGCACGGAGCGCGGCGCCCTCCCCTCCGTGCAGCGCCGCTGGGTGGCACCGCTGTCTCCGGGCGGAGGGACTCGGGTCTCGTCGTGGTGGACGGAGCTCTCCACCGTGAGTAGACGACGTCGAGACGGCGTTTATAATCGAGCTGTACCGGTTGCCCGGGATTTTTAGTAATGTGGATTCACGATTAATATTTCAGGAGTCGGGTATTTATCTGGAGTGTGAGGCGGAGAGCTCAGGGAGGCACGCCGGCCGCAGCGCCCTCTCCGCCGGGCGGCACCGCTGGCTCGAGCCGGTGGGATGACTCTCCACCAGGAGTGAGCAACGTCACATTCACCAGAAAACTAATCTTGTTTGGATCACAAAGCCGTGACCCGGTTGCTTGCTCTGTATATTTGGACCTTGGTAATTAGCTTTTGAAGCGGGGAAAGCTCCGGGACACACGCCGAGCACAGCGCACTGTCGCCGGGCTGCGCCGCTGCGTCCGGCCCGGTGGGATGTGTCGCCACTGGGGGTGGAATACTTTCTAGAGATCCAGGCTTTCCTGCATCGGAGGTGAACCCGGTCGTCGCCTGTGTTGTCGCCCTCCTGTCGGTGTGTTTGAGTGAGCTTTAGGAGGAGGGCATGGCCGACTCCGGCCGAGCCAGACCGGCGGACCCTGACGCCGCGGACTGCCGGACAGGGAGCCCTCTGACCGTGAAGAAGAGGGCGCAGAATTCTCCCGGTCTCCGGCCCAGGTACCAGAGCTCCGCACCGGGACACTGCCTCAAGAAAGTCACCCTGACCAAACCCACCTTCTGCCACAGCTGCAGCGACTTCATCTGGGGGCTCATCGGCTTCCTGTGTGAAGGTAAGACCGCATGCACCTGAAGGTAATACTCGGTGTATCATGTAGCCTATACACGGCAAAAACTGCAACTCCTGCTCTATAAGCATATCCTGGTGTAGGCCAAGTCCTGTGGGACCTGGACCACCAGCCAGCCTCGCTCTGCCCTGCAGCTGCAGGTGACCAGGTGTTATTTACCAGGACTGGTTCAGCTGAAACTTCTGCAAAGCAAAGAATTTGTTCTGTGTTTGTATTCAGAGTCAGAGAGAGGAATCATCTCCAGCCAGGAAACAGAGCCTCTCCTCTCCTTTCCTTATCTTCTGTTTCCTTTCCTTATCGTGTTTCCTTTCCCTAGCTTCTGTTTCCTTTCCTTATCGTGTTTCCTTTCCCTAGCTTCTGTTTCCTTTCCTTTAATTTCCTTTATGTGTCCTTTCCTTTTCCTTTCCTTTTCATCCCTTTATCTTTCCTCTTCCTTTCTCTAGTTTCCTTTTCCTTGACTTTTGGTACATTATCTTTCCATCCTTTTCCTTTTCTCTTCCCCTCTTCCTTTCCTCATCTCCTCTTTCATTTCCTTTCCTCTCTATCATTTTCTCTTCCTGTTCCTTTCCTTTAATGTCCTTATCTTCTGTTTCCTTTTCCTTTCCATCCTTTTCCTTTTCTCTTTCCTCTTCCTTTTTTATGTTTCATTTTCTCATCTTCTGTTTCCCTTTCTTGTTCCTCTAGTTTCCTTTTCCTGTTTCCTTTCCTTTCCTTTCCTTATCCCCCTTTTCCTTTCCCGTGCTTTTCCTTCTCACTGAGCCACGACTCAATTATCAATTCAACAGGCGAACTGAAGAGCTGAACCGAGACAACGCACTCTCACTCCACTCTGCCCAGTAACACGCTGGTGGTCCAGCCTCTGCTGAGTGTGAGGACGTGTAAAGCGCCGGAGCTGCAGTTAAGTCGTGATTTACTTCCTCCGGTTGACATGGCAACAGGAGGTGTGTTTGCGTGACATGACCATCCTCCTCCTCCTCATCCTCCTCTTCGTCACAAACAGCAGCAGATGCATTAAAAGCTGCAGCAGAACATCACCGGCAGAGCTGCAGACGCTCGGCTGGATTACATAACGTTTTCTTCTTTAAAGCTGTCGAGTTGGATTAACACACAGACCTGTGATGTCATCAGAGTGCTCGTCCTGCCGGTGGATTTTTCCCATCATAATAACAAATAAAAAAAACCCACATCTCTTTATTGTTAGGACGTTTTTGTTTCCTAAGGTTCACCGAACACACTCGGCCGAGATGCTGAAGGAGAATCCAGGTTTATTCTTTGTGCGTCGTTTCCGTCAGTAATAAACTGCTGTCTGAGACGTCACTCACAATAACCCTGAAGCACGAGCGCTCACAACGCTGGTGGTCGACCGTGCAGCCTGAGGAGGGGGTTTGTGGTTCACAGCCTTGTTTTTGCACTTTGAAGGTTGTTGGAAACTGCAGCTCACACTTGCTTTAGTTTAAATGTTTAAATTACTTCAGTAATCAGATTTCTATAGAGCTAGAAGATGTAAACATATGTAGAAATTCTCAACGTCAATCTCCAAAGAGAGTCCAAAGGAGATAAATGTGTTGTTTTACCTGACCAACAGTCCAAAAACCCCCTAAAAGATTCAGCAGAAAGAAACAGAGAAAAGCAGCAAATCGTCACGCTGGAGAAGAATAATAACAAAACCTTGTATTTGGGGGAAGCTTTTCAGGACACTCAAGGACATCTTAAAAATTAGGTGCATAATTCAATCAGTGCAAGTTTAAAATAAGAGGACAAAACAATTTACACAAGTCTTGGATAAAAAAGTCTAAAGGCTTCAAGGGAAAAAGGAGTTTTGTGAAAGATGTAACTGAGAAGCTGCAACAGGAGAATGTTTGAGATTTTTATCTTTTAATTGACTTCAGTTTCCTGTCTTCCAGTTAAGACATTAATGCGCTTGATAGACTAGATTAATCTTCCCAGCCCGTCCTCAGCAGAGAAACGGCCGTACAGGTCGATGCCGCAGCAGCTTATTACGAACCATGTTTAGGTTTTTCGTCAGGCCGCGACCTCGAGTGATAGAAGACGTCTGGATTGGTACTCGCCAACGCTCGTTGTTTTGGGAAACGGTCGTATGTGTCCGATTTTTAACGATCTGATCTTGCCTTCGTGTTAATATTTGGTATTTTTTCCTGTTATCCTCATTGATTTGTCTGTCCTCCAAATATTTGAGGTGGCGGTTAATTCACCCCAGACTCCCTTATAAATACTTTTGTGAGTTGTTGTGTTAGGGGGAAACTTTTCGACTTTGTGAAACGCTGTCTATGACAAATTTGTTGTTTGTCCCCTCTTGTAAATTCGGCAGATGTAACACATGGAGTTACGTTGTGTTGGTTTGTCCCGGCAGTTAACAGCAGATCAGCTGCTCAGATGACTTATTTCTTACTATATATACCTGTTTTAGCCATGACCAGGCCTTCTGTTGCTGCAGCAGAAAATTGAAAGCAGTATTCATTTTAGTGTCGTTATTCTTAATTTACACGTTCCTAAAACAAACTCATGCTAAAATTAAAGCGAGGCACTGAGTAATTTTGAGATTTGTAATCCGAATAGTCAGTTATTTGTTTCAAGAATCGAAACGCGCAGTGTTATATATCGTTTTGGGACACTGGACAATCGACCTGTTCAGTCTTTTGGGTTTAAGGCCGTGTTGGGTAACTTGGGTAAAGCTCTACTAGGACCTCTTTAGGTTAACCAAGATTGAAGACTAAAATATTAATGGCTAGGTTATTTCAGTGGGACGGGAGCAGTTAAAAACCAGTGGTGTTTAAAATGAAGTGAACACAACCAAACAATGTTTATTCTTACAATTAGGGGAAAATATATTTATTTCCTTTAAAAACTACAGATAAGAGTAAGAGTAAGTGTAACATAAAGCAGCCACGACATGGCTAAAACAAAGGGCTTTGTGCGTCTCAAGGCTAATCAAACGTCCTCCTGTTTCTCTTAATCACCAAACATTTGTACACCTGCAACAGCAAGATAAATCCCTCCTCCGGGACCCGCCGATCGGTCCCTTCGCTGCAGCTTCTCCTTTGATATGACACCTGAATTGTCCGTCCAGCTCAGCTGCAGATGTGCTCAGATTAGCACTAATTTGGGCACCAGGGAGTGAGGCAAGGCCAAGTCTGAGACACTGCCCACAAACCAGCCCACAAATCATGCAAGTGAAGAGTCCAACACAATCAAACATACCATCCAAAAAACTGAATAAACGCTGTAAATCAGCACAGCCCCATTCCCCGCTTCTTCTCTGACAAGTTTTGGATTTTGAACTCAACACTGAGATTTTTAAAGTTAAACTTGCATTAATTAATTTTATTGACAGTTTGAGAGTTTGGTCGGATATGGAAGTGTTGATTGAACTTGGGAAAAAAACTTGAAACTGTGAGCTAGAATAATGCAGAAGTGTATGTAAGGTTTCTTGCACTGATAAGAGAAATAATCAGCTCTCCAGGCTGCACATCGTGTCCTTGGGCAAGAGACTGAACCCTGAATGGCCCCTGGCGGCTGCTCCACCGCTGTGTGAGTTTCTGTTGAATGCGATACACTGTAAAAGTGGCCGCAAAGAAAAGCTATTCAAATACGGAGCATTTACATTTTGCGTAAGTGACGTTACTTCACTTCAGTAATTGAAGTCACATAAGCAACCTATTTATTTTGATCTTTTTCTAAACCTAACCAAGTAGCTTTTGTGCCTAACCCTAAAGAACACTGACTTCTTGTTTCCATTCTATTTTCCTTTTCCATTCATTTCTCTTTTAACCCTGATTGTAACACTGCACTGTAACTTTTATTATATTTTAATGTGTATTAAATGTTGCTTTTAAACTTTTTTTATAATTCCCTGTTGCTTTTATTTTTTATGTAAAGCACTTTGAATTACCTTGTTGTTGAAATGTGCTCTACAAATAAACTTGCCTTGCCTACACGCTGCTTTACCGGAGGGGAACGTAGCAAACAGCGGGTATAAATAAACGGGAGATTTACGGGGGAAATATTTTAACGGGAGGACACCGTGAGGGAACGGTAAAATAACGGGAGAGTCGACACGTATACACGTTACGGCTAAATGCTAAAAACACTCAAGATGCTCCAAGCACGACTTGACGTCTCCCGACTCCAATGAAAAAACAACGCTGATCGGCTGTTGGCTACCGTCAAAAAGAAATTATATCGTGATATCGCACCGAATACGTTTACCCGCCAATGTGGCGGTTAGCCTTTCAACATTTAGCCGCCGAACAGAAAATCTACCCGCATTTGGCGCTTGGTGGGTGTTAATTTCCAATAGTGATGTGCGATACCACTTAATTCCTTTCCGATCCAATACCAAGTGACACCCAGGCCGGTACTGCCGATACTTTCTACACGTTTTATTTCTAGTTTAATGTGACCTCCCTCTCCGGTTTCTGTGTGTCTGAGAGAAATAAGGAGCAGCCTGTGGCCTTACCAATTCAAAATAACAGCTGCATAATGACAAGACATCAAACTACTGTCATATTCTTTAATTATAGTAAAAGTCTCCTGCTCAGAACTGCCGCTTCGTAACATCATCATATTATTTTGACTCCATCTCAGATGTTTAGCGAAGTTTGCGGTGTTGCCAAAGTATTTCACTGTCTTTGCTCTACTCTCACAGTATTATGTTACTGTTTTTTGATTATATTATAACGTCATTTCAGGGGTAGCGTATTCTGCTCCCCTATCAAATAATGCTGCCATTACAGGATCATTTTATATCGCACCACTACTCACTCCGTGTGTACTGTACGGAGATGGGGAGCATGTTGAAATACTATATTATGCCATCTTTATTTAAGATATCAGGTTAGCGTATTCTGATCAGCCGCTGTCTCGACAGCATTCCCAACAGCAAGGTTGCACAGATTTATGGGCGCTTGTGGGTCATACGCATGCGCAGAACCGCTAAGTAGCAGATCTCTATAGGTAGCATAAATCGA